GGCGAGAAGCAATGAAGGATGGCGGCGTCGTCGGCCAATTTCTCTGAGAGGAACGCATGGACGTATGGAACAAGAAATACGCTGAGATTTGAACTTATGGAGAAAGATACGCAATTTCATGACAGAATAACCTTCGGACGAAGAATCCTCTTTGAAGCCCTAAAGATACAGCCGGAGGAGATCTTCTGCCTTCAACAGAGTGCTGCAAGCAAGCACTATGATGTGACCTTCTGTACTGGAGAGTATGCGGAAGAAGTGAGAAAGAAGAGTATCGTGGAAGAAGATGAGGAACTGCGGAAATATACGGTGACCCCTTTGTATCGGAACGATTATAGAATTTTAACGATACATATGTATAATCCTTGGGTTACGGAAGAGACTATCAAGTACTTCCTGGGGAGATACGTTACTGTTCTCCCAGGAGTACGGAAAATAAAGGACGGCCTCGGCCTATGGACTGGAAAGAGACAATTTCGCATCAAATTGAATACGGACATGGACAGCGAGGATGGATATTGCCATCCGCCTGCAGTATTCTCCATTGGAGCGGATAGAGGCTTCCTAGTTTACGCAGGGCAGCCTCAAGCATGTAGGAAATGCGGAAGTACTGGACATAACGCGGACCAATGTGACCAGGTGAGGTGTAGGAGTTGTGGCAAACTTGGTCATATAACAAAGGACTGTAAGGAGCCCAGAAGATGCCACCTATGTGACTCAGATGCACATATGGCGAGAGACTGCACTAAGCCCCGGCCATATTCGGCCGTGGTGAAGACTGGACTCGTTGAGGAAGACCGCAGCGAAGTGGAAATAGACTCTGACGCCGGAGAAAGGCCACAGGAGCCGCCACCAGCTGCTGGAAATCAGGCTAACGAGGATAAAGCGGGGAGCGCGGAGGAGGGGACGGAGCGGCGAGAGGAGAAGGGGGAGAGGAGTCCCGAGCAAGACGGTGAGAAAGAGAAACAGGGGGAGGATCCCCAATTGTGGGAAGTGGTCGCAAAGCCACGGAGAAAATCTGCAAAGAGGAGGAGAAAGGTGAGCCCGGTCGCCTCCTCGGAAGAGGTTAAGATGAGAGACCAGGAAGTTAGTGAGGAGGTTTTGGAGGAAGGTGGAAATGAGGAGGGGTATGTATTGAGAGGAACACAGACTGAGTGTATGCATACCCCGTTAAGTGACGTGACAAGTGACGGGGATATGGAAGAGGAAGGTGAGAGTGAAGAAAAGTCAGAGGACTCCTTTATAAAAAACTTATTGTTACATGTTAACATGGATAGATAAAGACTATGGGAGAAGAGCAAAAATTTATCAAGTGACTTATCGCAACCCTTTTTCTTTGTTTCTCTTTTCTCCTTTTTTTTTCTCATTCTTTTTTTGTTTAATCCTGCTCTTAGTGCTCTACTTGCGTTTCTGTTTATGGTATGGGGAAAATACGAATAATTACTTTGAACGTTAGGGGGCTAAAAAACGCCCGAAAGAGGAAAATGGTTTACGAATTTTTACTATGTTATAATTTTGATATTTGTTTGGTACAAGAAGCCCATCTAAAGGATGAGGGGGATGTCGCTGTGTTTACTGAGGAATGGAGGGGAGGGGAAGCCTCTTGGAGCATCGGGGGGGTACATGGGACTGGAGTCGGGGTGTTATGTGGGAATAAAGGTATTCGGATAATGGAGAGCTATACGGTAATACAAGGAAGGGTAATGGTGGTGGATGTTGAAAAAAATGGGATCCAATGCCGGATAATAAATGTGTACGCACAGGTGGAGCACGGGCTACGTAGGGACCTCTTCCAAAAATTGGACACCTGCTTCTTGACTAAAAAGGACATTATTGTGGGAGGGGACTTTAACTGCTCTCTGGAAAAGGAAAAGTGCTCCCTCCCCTTTAAGACATTTATTAAAAAATATGAATTAATAGATGTAATGGGGAAACTACAGGGAAAGCAGGTGGGGTACACATGGAAGAACTCAAGGGGGGCGAAAAGTAGGCTAGATTATATTCTTGTAGAAAAAAAGTGTAAAATAATAAATGGAAAAACTATACCGGCCCTTTTTACAGACCACCAGGCTGTGGAAGTGGAGCTCGAGATAGAAGGGCCTGACTTTGGAAAAGGGTACTGGAAGTTTAACAACGATGTGCTTGCTGAAAAATCTTATAGGGAAGGTTTTATAAAAATCTTCCCTTTATGGGTAGAGATGAAAAGCTTATACAGCAATGTTGTGTTTTGGTGGGAGGACATAAAGAAAAAAATTAAAAAGTTCACGGTCGATTATTGCTCAGAGAGAGCAAAGTTTAGAAAGAAAGAGTTTGACATACTACAAAAAGAGATAGAACATACTTATGCTACGCAAAATAAGGGAAAGGAAAAAATAAAGGAAGGGTATTTGGAAAATTTAAAAATAAGACAGGAAGAATTGCTCGAGAGGAAAGCAAGGGCTGTAATATATAAACTAAAGCAGGAAGAGTATGAGGAAAATGAGAAATGCTCCTCATATTTTTTCAGCAAAATGAAGATTAGAGATAAGAGGGGGGTTATAATGGAATTGGAGAAGGATGGAAAGGTGATTAGGGGGAAGGAAAATATGTTAGAAATGGTGAAAGAATATTATGGAGAATTGTTCATGAAGGAGAACTTGGATCTGGGAAAGGGGGAGCTTTTTATAAGATCCCTAAAGAGAAGGTTACCGGAAGATGAAAGAGGCAAGTTGGGGCGGGAATTGACAGTAGAAGAGGCATACAATGTGATAAAGGCAATGAAGGCTAATAAGGTGCCTGGTATAGACGGCTTAACAAAAGAATTCTATGTGGCCTTCTGGGATATGGTGGGGATACATCTTTTGGGGGTTTTTAAGGAAATTATGGAGGGAGAAGAGATGTCAGATAGTATGAAAACGGGGGTGGTGTCTATACTGTTTAAGAAAGGAAACCCGAACCATCTAGACAATTATAGACCACTAACCATGTTGTGTGTGGACTATAAAATTTTGAGTAAGATTTTGGCAAACAGGCTAGCAGGAGTCATGTCACACATAGTAGAGATGGACCAAACTTGCGGGGTACAGGGGAGGCAGATCACATGGAACTTACATCTACATAGGGATGTACTCACATATGTAAAGGAGAGAAACATTGCGGCAATATGCGTCAGCTTGGACCAGCAAAAAGCGTTTGATAGAGTAGACCATGCTTTCTTGTGGAAGGTAATGGACGGATTGGGCCTAGGAGGGGTTTTTACAAAATGGGTAAAAATCCTATATAAGGGCATAAATTCAAAAATAAAAATTAATGGTTACCTCACCGACAAAGTGCAACAAACAAGAGGATTGAGGCAAGGGTGTCCACTATCGGTGGTGCTCTTCGTGCTATACGCTGAACCCCTGGCTTGTGCAATAAGGGAGAGTCTAGTCGTAAAGGGGATAACGCTGCCACGGGGCGAGAGCTTAAAAATATCCCAATACGCGGATGACACGATATTATACTTGGCAGATGACGAAAGTTTAAGGGGAGTGATAGAAATCTTAAATGATTACGAAAAAGCAACAGGATCGAAAATAAATAAAGAGAAGACGATGTACAAATACCTTGGGAAGTGGGAAGGGAGAAAGGATAACATTTGTGATTTTATGTTGTGCGAAGGTCCTATGGACATTTTAGGAATTTCTTTCGGGAACAAGGAGGGGGACGCTTTATGCAACTGGAAAAAGAAGATGACTGCAGTAGATAGAAATTTGGGATTATGGAAAATAAGAAAACTTTCAATTTCAGGGAAAGTGTTGGTCATAAAGGCTGAGGTGTTGCCAAAGTTGCTACACTTGGCCTATGTTTTTCCGATGCCGCAGAAGTATAGAGCTCAATTAATGAGGGGGATATTTAAATTCATATGGGGGGGCTATGAATATGTAAAAAGGGTGCAAATGTACCAAGAAATAGGAGATGGTGGGAAGGGGGTGCCAAACGTCCCATTGAAGTTGGATGCAATATTCTATGCAAATGTTTGTACACTATTGAAAAAAACATATATGCACAAATGTCAAATCCTGTTATGGTTTTGGTTGTCGATACCATATCGGTTCTTAATAGGGTGGGACAACAAAGGCCCTAAGGCGGAGACTAGACCGGAGTATTTCCAGCGAATGGTAAAGTGGGGGAGGAGACATACGGAATGTAAAGAGGTGGATACAATAGTAAATCATAAGCTACTATATAAAAAACTGGTACAGAAATCTAACGTTAACTTAGTAATGGTGAGCTCAGAAGTGTGGGAACGGGCTCAGGATAAGAGTTTTAAGAACGGATTAAAGGATTTTAATTGGTTGCACCTGCATAGAAGACTACCAGTAAGAGTCACAATGCATGCCCATAATTTGGGGAAACAAAAAGTTTGTCCAAGGGAAAATTGTAAGGAAGATGAAACGATTGAACATGTATTATGGGGATGTGAATATGCAAAAAATGTATGGGACGGGGTAAAAGGGAGGTATAAGTGCCTGGAAAAGGTGACATATGATGAAATTACCTCGTTCGGGGTTAAGGGAGTGGGAAAAGAGCAATATAAAGTACTTTGTATGCTGTTATCAATTGTAAAGCTTAAATTATGGAAAGCAAGACAGGGTTTCATAACTGGGGTGTATAAATGGGGAGAAATTGGAACAGTTAAGGCAATAGAGAAAGAATTTGAAGGTATATATTGGCACGAACTAGAAAAGTGGGGAAGTGACACAATTAAGGATAGGTGGAAAGCTTTTTTTTTAAACCCACCCAAAAGAAGGTGGTAAGTGACAGGGAGCGAGATAGTAGGAATGTGTTGGATGCTATTGTTTATTAAAATGGTTTCTGCTTTTGTGTGTTGGAAAACGGATTTAGCTTGGTAGAATGTTCTTTGGGATGGAAAGAAATGAAGAAATGTAAATGTTCTGAAAAATATGATAAGATGTTTGAGCTATTTGGAACATGAATGTAAAGTATGGAGATATTTTGGAAAGAAAATAAAAAGAAGGAAAAAAAAAAAAATCTGTTCTTATCAGTTTAATATCTGATACGCCCCCGATTCGGGGGCAACGTATTAAACGCATTTTTAGAACAGGGAGCCGAATAAGGGGCTCGCTCCGTTCGCTCCACGCATCGACCCGGTATTGCAGCGCCTCCGGGAACGGTGCCCCCTTTGCTGACTTTGTGCAAAAGCAAGAAAGCCGAACAAAGTAAGGTCTGCCAAACCAAGAGCCAGAAAGCAGCCGGAAGCGGCGAACGTGCAGGGATAGAAGCTCAGAGAAATAAGGAAAAAAACTGGGAAGAGAGCGAGGAACTGAATATATTATTAAAGGAACAGGAGGTTTTGTTTCAGGAGAGGGCGAAAACAAGAATGTTTAAATTTATGCAGGAGGAGTATATGCAACAGGAGAAGTGCTCGGCCTATTTTTTTGCTCAAATGAAAAAGAAAGAGGAAAAAGGGGCAATTATGGAACTGGAAAGGGAAGGGAAATCGGTTACTGGACGGGATAATATTTTGAAGATGGTAGAGGAGTACTACAGTTCATTGTTTGGTGTGGAAGAAGTAGATAGAGGGGCTCAAGAAATGGTTTTAGGTTTTCTGAAAGAGAGGTTACCAGAGGACGCAAGGAAGCTTTTGGAAAGGAGCATAACAAACCACGAACTATACGAGGCGATAAAGACAATGAAGAATAACAAGGTACCTGGGATAGATGGACTCACAAAGGAGTTTTACATCACCTTTTGGGATCTCATCGGAGACCACTTGTTGGAGGTATTTGAAGAAATGTGTGAAACGGGTAGAATGCCAAAGAGTATGAGGACGGGTGTGATAAGTTTACTACATAAGAAAGGCTCACCTGCTGTGCTTTCAAATTATAGGCCTCTTTCAATGGTCTGCGTGGACTACAAAATTTTGAGTCGAACTCTAGCAAGACGCCTGGCCCGAGTCTTGCCTGCTATTATTAATGCAGACCAGACATGCGGGGTAAAGGGCAGGCAGATTGGTTGGAACTTACAATTACATAGAGATGTGCTTACATACATCGAAGAGAGGAACTTGACAACAATATGCGTAACACTTGATCAGGAAAAAGCTTTTGATAGGGTCAATCATGATTTCTTATGGAGGGTGAATTGGATAAGTATGATGTATACTGACATAATTTGCAAGATAAAGATAAATGGACACTTAACAGAGGAAGTACAACAAACGAGAGGGCTACAGCAGGGTTGCCCCCTGTCCGCCCTACTCTATGTTATATATGTAGAACCTTTAGCATGTGCAATAAGAGGAAAGGAGAAAATTAGAGGAGTGCCCTTGCCAGGGGGGGAGGTGTTGAAGATCTCCCAGTACGCTGACGACACAGTTCTTTACTTGGAAGATGATGGAAGTGTGAGGGAGATGATACGAACAATACAGACCTTTGAGAGCGCTGCGGGGTCAAAGGTCAATGAGGAGAAATCAAAATATAAATTTTGGGGACGATGGGCAGGTAGGAGAGAGACGCTTTGCGGGCTTTCTTTGTGTGAAGGGCCCATGCGGGTCCTGGGCATAGATTTTGGAAATCCAGGGGGGGATGCAAATTACAACTGGGATTTGAAGATAGCGAAGATCTTAAAGAAATTGGGGATGTGGTCAAAAAGAAAGGGGCGGGGCCTGAGATCTGCCCCTTCAGCCAAGCAAGCAGGGCCTACCGTGACGCCGGAAGCCGGGACGAGGAGTCACTGCGGCTTCCTGCGAGGCCAAAGAAACACACACTCTGGCTTCTCTTCAAAACGTACAAGTCTTTCGCCTTTTACTAAAGACTTCCGTGGAGAGTGAGGCTAAGGAGTTGCACCTATTTTTGGCAGGGTCTGCCGTCTGGCTGGGCCCTCTCCTCGTTGTTCAAAAGAAGAAATAGAAGAAAGCGCGTGTAGCAGATTTCAAATGGTTGACTGCGTTGTGACGACAGACTGGCTGGAAACTGGATTTATTTCTAAAAGACAAAGTGTAGCAGCAAAATCAGTGTCACACAGCAACAGCAGGCCTCTCCTCATCCCAGTGTGGAGTCCATGCAGCTCTGCTTACAATATATAAAAGAAAATACAATCGATCAAAACAAAGATTCTCCCAACAGCCACTTTAAAGTCAAATGTTATAGTGGGGTAAAACAGAGACAAATATGAAGCCACTAATAATAACTTGTAATATTTAAATCCCCACTAAGATGGATCAATTACACAATACATATTCAAACAACTTTAACTTTTCTCAACATGGCTGGAAATACTATGCAGTGTGCAGCCTCAGGTGATGAACTCATTATACACATAAAACATAACCTATACATTTACACATGCCTAAAAGACAAAGTGCAGCAGCAAAATCAGTGTCACACAGCAACAGCAGGCCTCTCCTCATCCCTGTTTAGCACAAGTAAGGACCACATAAACGGATGGTGTAACAGATAAAACGCAGTTCCAATGACTATTTTTCTCGTTCAAAGCAATCAAAAACACTTTGGGAGCTTTTAGCCAGAAGAACTAATACTTAGCAAAGAAAAATACACCAAATTTAAATGTATAATTTAGTACAGGGAGAGGAGCTACAGAAAGTGTGCCTCACCAGTGTGGAGTCCATGCAGCTCTGGCTGGGAAACCCCACACACGCAACATGTTTACAAGTGGCGTCACACTGATTAATGCCCCACTTCAACAGTGACACGTGGAACCTTAGTTTTACATAAATTAAATTTACACAATAAAAAATAAATAAACTACAGTATATACAATACAGTTTTGAGAATGTTGACACTCAGTATATTATATCTCAGCTACACGCGCAGTTCCAGGGAGCTCTGCAGACCTCTGAGGTACTGTAGGTGGGCGGAGATTTGAAGCGGCTCCCTCCCTGTGAGCCAAGTGAAAGAGCGCACCGTCACAAGCGAGAAGTGTCCCGAGAAGGCGGCTCAGCCAGGAACCTGCGGGAGGCCATCGCTTCTCGGCCTTTTGGCTAAGATCAAGTGTAGTATCTGTTCTTATCAGTTCTCGGCCTTTTGGCTAAGATCAAGTGTAGTATCTGTTCTTATCAGTGATAAGGCGAGAAGCAATGACAGGATGGCGGCGGCGTCGGCCAATTCATGAGAGGAATGCATGGACTGCAAGGTACAAGAAATACGTTGAGATTCGACTATGGAGAAAGACGAGGATCCATGACAGAATCAACTTTGGACGAAGGATCCTATGCGAGTTTTAAAGATACAGCCGGAAGGAAATCTACTGCTTCAGCAGAGCACGGCAGTAAACATTACGATGTGACCTTTTGCACGGGAGAAGGCGGAGGAAGTAAGAGAAGGAGTGTATTCGGAGAAGAATAAGAAGAATTGAGGAAATATACACGGTAACCCCTTGTAAGAAATGATTATAGGATCTCTAACTGTTCAATGTACAATCCCATGGGTTACTGAAGAGACTATTAAGTATTTCTTGGGAAGGTATGTTACCGTACTCCAGGAGTGCGGAAAATAAAGGACGGTTGAGGCCTATGGACCGGAAAAAGACAATTTCGGTTAAATTAAAGTGGATGTGGCCACCGAAGACGGGTATTGTCCACCCGCCCGCGGTGTTCTCTATGGAGCGGACTAGGGGCTTCCTGGTGTATCGCAGGGCAAGCCTCAAGCGTGCAGAAATGTGGTAGCACGGACACAATGCGGACAGTGCGAACAAATGAGGTGCAGGAGTTGCGGAAAAGATGGCCACTATAACAAAAGACTGTAAGGAGCCTAGAAGATGTCATTTGTGTGATCGGATGAGCACATGGCAAGAGACTGTACTAGCCTAAGGTCATATTCTGAGCGGCAAAGACTGGAATCTGAAGGAGACATATCATAGAAATGCGGACACGAAGCACTGATACTGGAAAGAGAGCACAGGAGGCGCCACCAGCTGCCGGAAATCGGACTAATGAGGAGAAAGCTGGGAGTATGGAAGATGGAGCGGAACAGAGAAAGGAAAAAGGAGAAATACGTGAACAGGATGCCGAGAGGCAAGGTGAGGACGATCAGACATGGGAAGTGGCAGCTAAGCCACGGAGAAAAACTGCTAAGAGACGGAGGAAGGCGAGTTCTGGCGTTTCTTCAGAAGAGACTAAGGTGGAAGGTAAGGAGGGCAGAGAGGAGCGGACTGAGGAGGTGGGAAATGAGGAGGGATACGTTCTGAGAGGAACACAGACTGAATGTATGCATACTCCTATAAGTGACTTAACAAGCGATGGGGACATAGAAGAGGAGGCCGAAAGTGAAGAAAAGTCAGAAGATTCCTTTATAAAAAACTTATTGGCACATGTTAATATGGACAGTTAAAGATGGTGGGAGTGGACAAAAAGGAAACTATTTAAGTTTAAATATGTCCCTATGGTTTTGTTTTTGTACTTCTTTTTTTTTGTTGCTGGGATACGGGGAAAATCCGAATAATTACGTTAAACGTAAGGGGGCTTAAAAATGCCCGAAAGAGACAAATGGTTTATGAATTTTTATTATTTTATGATTTTGATGTTTGTTTATTGCAAGAAGTACATCTAAAGGATGAGGGGGATGTTGCTGTTTTCACGGAGGAATGGAGAGGAGGAGAATCTGCGTGGAGTATAGGGGGGGTACATGGGACAGGAGTTGGAGTGTTATGTGGAAATCAAAGTGTACAGATAAAGGAAAGCTACACGATAATACAGGGAAGGGTGATGGTCGTAGATGTGGAAAAAAACGGGACGCAAAGTCGGATAATAAATGTGTATGCACAGGTGGATCCAAAGCTGAGAAGAGAACTATTTTTAAAAATGGACACCTGTTTCATGACAAGAAAGAATATTATAGTGGGAGGGGATTTTAACTGCTCCTTGGAGAGGGAAAAATTTTCCCTCCCCTTTAAGACATTTATAAAAAAATATGGTTTGATAGATGTAATGGCCAAATTACAGGGGAAACAAGTAGAGGCATACATGGAAGAATACAAGAGGGGTGAAAAGTAGATTGGATTATATATTGGTAGACAAAAAGAGTAAAATAAAGAGAGGGAAAATAATACCGGCACTGTTCACGGATCATCAAGCTGTAGAGGTGGAATTGGAGATAGAAGGAACGGAATTCGGGAAGGGATATTGGAAATTAAATAATGAAGTACTTACGGAAAAAGATTATAGGGAAAAATTCTTAGAGCTCTTCCCGTTATGGGCAGAGATGAAAAACTTATATATGAAGGAATTAGATTGGTGGGAGGATGTAAAAAATAAAATTAAAAAATTTACAGTGGATTACTGTACGGAGAGGTCAAAATTAAGAAAAGAAGAATTTTGTGCGCTACAGAAAGAGATAGAACATACTTATGTAAAACAAAACGAGGGAAGAAATAAAAATATGGATGAGAAAATAGAAAATTTAAAATTGAAGCAAGAAGAATTTCTTGAGAGGAAGGCAAGGGCTGAAATATATAAAATAAAGCAGGAGGAGTACGAGGAAAATGAGAAATGTTCAGCTTTCTTTTTTAAAAAAATGAAAAGTAGGGATAAAAGAGGGGTTATAACGAAATTAGAGAAGGATGGGAAAATGATCGAGGGGAGGGAAAATATGCTAAAAGTGGTGAAAGAATATTACGAGGACTTGTTCAGGAAAGAAAAATTAGAGGGAGAGAAGGGGGATTTCTTCTTAAAGACAATAAAGAAGAGATTAACGGGAGAAGAAAGGGATAGGCTAGAAGGAGAGGTGACGATAGACGAGGCATATAGCGTGATAAAGGGAATGAAGGCAAATAAAGTGCCGGGAATAGATGGTCTAACAAAGGAATTTTATGAGACCTTTTGGGGAGTGGTGGGGATACATTTGTTGGGGGTTTTTAAGGAAATCACGGAGGGAGAGGGATGACAGAGAGTATGAAGATGGGGTGGTTTCCTATTATTAAGAAAGGTAATCCACATCAACTTGATAATATAGACCTTTAACCATGTTATGTGTGGACTACAAGATTTTGAGCAAGATATTCGCAAATAGACTCGTAGGAGTAATGACATATATAGTGGAGAAGGATCAAACGTGTGGGGTCCAGGGGAGGCAAATTACTTGGAACGTACAATTACATAGGGATATACTTACATATGTAAGAGATAGAAATATAGCAGCAATTTGTGTTAGTTTGGATCAGCAAAAGGCGTTCGATAGGGTAGATCATGATTTTTTGTGGAGGGTAATGGAGGAAATGGGGTTAGGAGAGACTTTTATAAAAAGAGTAAAAACTTTATACAAAGGCATAAACTCAAAAATTAAATTAAATGGTTTCCTTACAGAAAAAGTTTATCAAACAAGAGGTTTGAGACAAGGGTGTCCATTATCTGTCGTACTTTACGTACTTTATGTCGAACCTTTGGCCTGTGCAATAAGGGAGAGCCAAAGGGTGAAAGGGATAATGATGCCACGGGGGGAAAGCTTAAAAATATCGCAATAGCGCGATGACACGATATTATATTTGGCAGATGATGACAGCCTAAGGGGAGTGATAGAAATTTTAAAAGCTTACGAAAAAGCGACGGGATCAAAGATAAATAAAGAGAAGACAAAGTACAAATATTTGGGGATATGGGAGGGTAGAAAGAGACTAATCATTGTGAATTCTTACTTTGTGCTGAAGGTCCAATGGAATTTAGGAATCTCACTTTGGAAACAAGGAAGGTGATAGCTTTGTAATTGGAAAGAGAAAGATGAACGCAGTGGACAAAGAAGTTAGGCTACTGGAAAGCAAGAAAACTTATCAATACGGGGAAAGTCTTTGGTTATAAAGAGGAGGTAGTGCCGAAATTATACATTTGGCCTACGTGTTCCGATGCCACAGATTATAGAGTCACAAATAATGAGGGGGATATTAAATTTATATGGGGGGGTTATGAGTATGTAAAAAGAGCTACACAATGTATCAAGAAATGCAGATGGTGGGAAGGGGTACCAAATGTCCCGTTAAGTTAGATACAATGTTTTATCAAATGTGTGTACATTATTGAAAAGACTTATGTGCACTAAATGCTCAAATATTGCTATGGTTTTGGTTAGCGATACCATACCGTTTTTTGATGGGTGGGAAAATAAAGGTCGACCTAAGCGAGAGTTAGACCAGAATATTTTCAGAGGATGGTGGGATGGGGGAAGAAACATGTGGAATGCAAAGAGGATGGATACAGTATTAATCATAAACTTCTATACAAGAAAACTGGTAGGAAAAGCAACTACAAAATCAGGTACGGGTGAGCCCGAGAAGTGTGGGAAACTTGCACAAGGATAAGAGTTTTAAAAATGTTATAAAGGACTTTAACTTGGATGCACTTACATAAAAGGCTTACCCAGTGAGGGTCTACATATGCTGCACATAATTTGGGGAAACACAAAAAAGTGTCCAAGAGAACAATTGTGTAAAAGATAGAAACAATGAACATGTACTATGGGGATGGAATACGCAAGAAAAGTATGGGAAGGGGTAAAGGGGAAGTACTAAAGGTTGGGGATGGTGACTATGAAGAATACTTATCTTTGGGCTAAGGGTGACAGAACAAATGAGAGAATAAAATACGTTGTATGTTGTTGATCAATACTTAAACTAAAGTTTGGAAGGGCAAGACAGGAGTTGTATAACGGGGGGATTAAAAGAGGGGGAAATTGGGACGATCAAGGCTATAGAAAGGAATTCGAAGGATATATTGGCATGAACTACAAAAATGGGGAATGATACATTAAGGACAGATGGAAAGATTCCTTTTTTCTCGAAAGGACCCAAAAGGATGGTGGTAGGTAAAGTGTAAGGGGAAGAGGGGAAGGGAGGAGTAAGGATAACTACACGATATGAATATGAAAATGTCTTATGGGGATGAAAATGTTAATCTAGTTTGTTAGAACGAATGTTGGGGAAAATGAAATGTAACCATTTTCACTTGTAAAGGAAAATGGTAAAATGTTTGAATCATTGTGGAAAGAAAATAAAAAAAAGGAAAAAAAAAAAAAAAATATCTGTTCTTATCAGTTTAATATCTGATACGTCCCCTCCCGGGGAGCATACTATTAAATCGCATTTTTGGAGAACAGGAGAGCGAATAGGGGCTCGCTCCGTTCGCTCCACGCATCGACCCGGTATTGCAGCGCCTCCGGGAACGGTGCCCCCTTTGCTGACTTTGTGCAAAAGCAAGAAAGCCGAACAAAGTAAGGTCTGCCAAACCAAGAGCCAGAAAGCAGCCGGAAGCGGCGAACGTGCAGGGATAGAAGCTCAGAGAAATAAGGAAAAAAACTGGGAAGAGAGCGAGGAACTGAATATATTATTAAAGGAACAGGAGGTTTTGTTTCAGGAGAGGGCGAAAACAAGAATGTTTAAATTTATGCAGGAGGAGTATATGCAACAGGAGAAGTGCTCGGCCTATTTTTTTGCTCAAATGAAAAAGAAAGAGGAAAAAGGGGCAATTATGGAACTGGAAAGGGAAGGGAAATCGGTTACTGGACGGGATAATATTTTGAAGATGGTAGAGGAGTACTACAGTTCATTGTTTGGTGTGGAAGAAGTAGATAGAGGGGCTCAAGAAATGGTTTTAGGTTTTCTGAAAGAGAGGTTACCAGAGGACGCAAGGAAGCTTTTGGAAAGGAGCATAACAAACCACGAACTATACGAGGCGATAAAGACAATGAAGAATAACAAGGTACCTGGGATAGATGGACTCACAAAGGAGTTTTACATCACCTTTTGGGATCTCATCGGAGACCACTTGTTGGAGGTATTTGAAGAAATGTGTGAAACGGGTAGAATGCCAAAGAGTATGAGGACGGGTGTGATAAGTTTACTACATAAGAAAGGCTCACCTGCTGTGCTTTCAAATTATAGGCCTCTTTCAATGGTCTGCGTGGACTACAAAATTTTGAGTCGAACTCTAGCAAGACGCCTGGCCCGAGTCTTGCCTGCTATTATTAATGCAGACCAGACATGCGGGGTAAAGGGCAGGCAGATTGGTTGGAACTTACAATTACATAGAGATGTGCTTACATACATCGAAGAGAGGAACTTGACAACAATATGCGTAACACTTGATCAGGAAAAAGCTTTTGATAGGGTCAATCATGATTTCTTATGGAGGGTGAATTGGATAAGTATGATGTATACTGACATAATTTGCAAGATAAAGATAAATGGACACTTAACAGAGGAAGTACAACAAACGAGAGGGCTACAGCAGGGTTGCCCCCTGTCCGCCCTACTCTATGTTATATATGTAGAACCTTTAGCATGTGCAATAAGAGGAAAGGAGAAAATTAGAGGAGTGCCCTTGCCAGGGGGGGAGGTGTTGAAGATCTCCCAGTACGCTGACGACACAGTTCTTTACTTGGAAGATGATGGAAGTGTGAGGGAGATGATACGAACAATACAGACCTTTGAGAGCGCTGCGGGGTCAAAGGTCAATGAGGAGAAATCAAAATATAAATTTTGGGGACGATGGGCAGGTAGGAGAGAGACGCTTTGCGGGCTTTCTTTGTGTGAAGGGCCCATGCGGGTCCTGGGCATAGATTTTGGAAATCCAGGGGGGGATGCAAATTACAACTGGGATTTGAAGATAGCGAAGATCTTAAAGAAATTGGGGATGTGGTCAAAAAGAAAGGGGCGGGGCCTGAGATCTGCCCCTTCAGCCAAGCAAGCAGGGCCTACCGTGACGCCGGAAGCCGGGACGAGGAGTCACTGCGGCTTCCTGCGAGGCCAAAGAAACACACACTCTGGCTTCTCTTCAAAACGTACAAGTCTTTCGCCTTTTACTAAAGACTTCCGTGGAGAGTGAGGCTAAGGAGTTGCACCTATTTTTGGCAGGGTCTGCCGTCTGGCTGGGCCCTCTCCTCGTTGTTCAAAAGAAGAAATAGAAGAAAGCGCGTGTAGCAGATTTCAAATGGTTGACTGCGTTGTGACGACAGACACAGACTGGCTGGAAACTGGATTTATTTCTAAAAGACAAAGTGCAGCAGCAAAATCAGTGTCACACAGCAACAGCAGGCCTCTCCTCATCCCAGTGTGGAGTCCATGCAGCTCTGCTTACAATATATAAAAGAAAATACAATCTATCAAAACAACGATTCTCCCAACAGCCACTTTAAAGTCAAATGTTATAGTGGGGTAAAACAGAGACAAATATGAAGCCACTAATAATAACTTGTAATATTTAAATCCCCACTAAGATGGATCAATTACACAATACATATTCAAACAACTTTAACTTTTCTCAACATGGCTGGAAATACTATGCAGTGTGCAGCCTCAGGTGATGAACTCATTATACACATAAAACATAACCTATACATTTACACATGCCTAAAAGACAAAGTGCAGCAGCAAAATCAGTGTCACACAGCAACAGCAGGCCTCTCCTCATCCCTGTTTAGCACAAGTAAGGACCACATAAACGGATGGTGTAACAGATAAAACGCAGTTCCAATGACTATTTTTCTCGTTCAAAGCAATCAAAAACACTTTGGGAGCTTTTAGCCAGAAGAACTAATACTTAGCAAAGAAAAATACACCAAATTTAAATGTATAATTTAGTACAGGGAGAGGAGCTACAGAAAGTGTGCCTCACCAGTGTGGAGTCCATGCAGCTCTGGCTGGGAAACCCCACACACGCAACATGTTTACAAGTGGCGTCACACTGATTAATGCCCCACTTCAACAGTGACACGTGGAACCTTAGTTTTACATAAATTAAATTTACACAATAAAAAATAAATAAACTACAGTATATACAATACAGTTTTGAGAATGTTGACACTCAGTATATTATATCTCAGCTACACGCGCAGTTCCAGGGAGCTCTGCAGACCTCTGAGGTACTGTAGGTGGGCGGAGATTTGAAGCGGCTCCCTCCCTGTGAGCCAAGTGAAAGAGCGCACCGTCACAAGCGAGAAGTGTCCCGAGAAGGCGGCTCAGCCAGGAACCTGCGGGAGGCCATCGCTTCTCGGCCTTTTGGCTAAGATCAAGTGTAGTATCTGTTCTTATCAGTTTAATATCTGATACGCCCCCGATTCGGGGGCAACGTATTAAACGCATTTTTAGAACAGGGAGCCGAATAAGGGGCTCGCTCCGTTCGCTCCACGCATCGACCCGGTATTGCAGCGCCTCCGGGAACGGTGCCCCCTTTGCTGACTTTGTGCAAAAGCAAGAAAGCCGAACAAAGTAAGGTCTGCCAAACCAAGAGCCAGAAAGCAGCCGGAAGCGGCGAACGTGCAGGGATAGAAGCTCAGAGAAATAAGGAAAAAAACTGGGAAGAGAGCGAGGAACTGAATATATTATTAAAGGAACAGGAGGTTTTGTTTCAGGAGAGGGCGAAAACAAGAATGTTTAAATTTATGCAGGAGGAGTATATGCAAACAGAACAACATCCAATTTGATGACTATGTTTCCAGCTCTCGCATTTATTAATAATCTACAGATCTATCTGTGGACGTGTTATTAGCCAAAGTTAGAAAAAAGAAAAGTACATACACAGACTTGAAGGCAGAATGAGGGAGGTTTGGCTGCAGGATGTCTTTGATGGCGATAATGTTGTCATGTTTAAAGTGTTTAAGAATCTTCAGTTCTCTCAGTGTGCGTTTGGCATTTGTCACCACTTCAAAAGCGTTGGAGATTTTCTTTATTGCCACCTGCTGGCCTGCAAAGTGTAAATGCAGAACAGAATTAAGGGAGAGCCACATTTGATCATTTATTCGGCATTGTACTAAAGACAGAATTAATTACATATATATTTTAAACTAAATTAGCCCTACCATTGTCCCTCCTCCTGGCAGAGGAAACAACACCATAGGCCCCGGTGCCAATGGTTTCTATGATGTCATACTCCTCTCCGACATCAAACTTCACATCTAGAGAGTGTGCTTTAAGCAAAGCCAGGTTTTTAGCTGCCGTGCTGGTGTCTGCGTTGCTGCCCGGTACCTCAACTCCCCGTGGGTTCTGGTTTTCTCTGGTTTTGTCTGTGGCCATTCTTTCAGGTGACGCCACAAGTTGACCATTTTTACTCTCTCCACCCTCCTTGAGTGACATTTTTCTGTAAAGAATAAAAAACAGAAAAGTTGAAAAAGTTATTTGTTTATTTATTTTTAATTTTCAAACAAACAAATGGAGTATAACACATAGCACATCAAAAACAAAATATCCAGATATACCCCACTTTAAACTTTTTACATTTTGGGAACAAAAAAAAACAAAACAAAAAAAACAAAACAGAAAAAAACGCATAGGGAGAGAAGGCAACAATGTCATACATAGAACTCAACAGGAAATAGAACACAGCACTCAAGTCTCTAAACAGATGAGATTTCAACAAAGTCCGGTTGAAGAGGCTTAATAAAATTGACCCACTCACACCATAACTTGGCAAAAACATTCTTCTTAAGACATATTGAGAATGAAATTATTTCCATTGCATAAATCTCATTCACAATGTCCCTCCAATCTGTCATAGCGGGGGGCACGGGAAGGAGCCGGCATCTTGTAACTGCTTTTTTGGCAGCTGTCACAAGAATCATAAAAAGATATTTATTTCTCATGTCCTGCAGAAGATCAAGATTATTTAGGAATATAGTAGAGATGTAAAGGTATATTATTTGCCTTAAATATAGTGATTAAGGCTTTGTGGAACTCGTGCCAAAAGGGCTTAATCTTCGAGCAATCCCAGAATATGTGCCAGTGCCCTGCCTCCTGTGCCCCACACCTTCTCCAACAACCGAGGGTACCCGTGTGCCAATAAGTCATCTGGTTTGGTGTTATAAAAAAATGCATCAGACTTTTCCAACTGTAATCCCGCCACATATTAGAGTTCATACATTTCCATATCGATTTACATGCCAATCAGCCATTCATTTTCTATTGAAATGTAACATTCTTTTTCCCACCTTTCTTAATATAAATAGTGGAATGGGGTCTCCTGGGCAATAGCCCATTTTATAATTTACCAATCATATCCTTAAGTAAGGTAAGCTTTCCGAAAAATTATTAAAACTGGATCATCTACATCTGTTTTGGTAAGGATGTTTAGCTGGAGGTAGTTCCTCATCTGGATGTATCTAAAATAGTCTAAATTATTAAGCTCAAACTCCGTCTTCCAATATTCAAAATCCTTAATGGCCCCTGGGCCACGAGTTTGAGACCCCTGGTCTGGACTGCCCTATATTTGTAAACAAAAAAGTTTCTATTACTTCACAGAAAATGTGAGCTTTCTATAGTGATATTTAAAAAACAAACTTTTATGCCAGTTTATTTATTTACTTAATTATTTGGGGGGTAGTATGAGTGATCATGGGAGAGTCAACAAGACAAAGCTGTAATATTTATTAAAATAAATGTAAACATACAAAATGTATGTTCTCCTTTACATTTTCGATTAAAGTCTCTGCTAGGCCGATTTTAGCCCCCGGACCTTATGCTTGACCCACATGTGTTATGCTGGAGTCTGTAGCAGCAACACTATGCAGTGTTTCTGTCACCATTAAAATCAATTTTACTCAAAACTAAAATTAAGCCCATATAAAAGCATTTTCTTTGAACACTTGTGCGCATGGAAGCCATCCCAGGAGTGCCTCTGTTAATGTGGGTACTGAGGAACAATAGAGACAGCACCACCACATGCCAAAGTTTTTCTCAATTGAGATTTAGGAGAAAATCTTAAATAAAAAGAAACTGCTGCTTCTGGTAAATAAAAACACACTTTTAAACGCTGATAAACTGTGTGAGAGTGACCTGGTAGGCTCAAACTAGGTGTGATCAGTAACTCCACACCCGTTAGGCCTGGCAGTGAAAGTGGCCAAAACCAAACCTGTAGCTCTCTACTAACGTCTCCACAATGAAGCTGGAGTCTTCATGCGAGATGAAAGACTGTGTGTGTGTATAGAG